CCCCATCGGTTGCCGGTGGAAGTGGGCTTCTTGCAATGTCGTGAAAAAAGGAATTTTTGAGCCTCACACAGGAGGATGAGGTATGTAGAAAGCTTTATTTTTGTAGAATGAAACCCCTGAGTTTTGCAGGTCCCACCTCTCTCCATTTTGTCTTCAACGGGGCTAAGATCAAAGCCAATGCTCAGAGTCTCTGCTCCATATTAAAGCACAGTCCAGTCCACATCTGGCCAGGATAGCTTGTCTTCCCAGCTGCTGTCTATCAGTCCATTGTGTGGGGGGTCTGCAGGGCCACATGGCTATGGAGGGAGCACAGGTAGGAGCAAAGCCAGAGGAACAAGAGAGCGAACCCCTTGGGATTATGATTTACCACATTTTCACGGGCTTGCATTGGCTTCACTTCCTCTAGCCAATGACCTCTGTCCCCAGGTTTGACTGACAGGCATGTTCCCTGTGTCGCCCCAACTTTACCGCACATGTGTCCATCTCACCTTTGTTGGACCTGTTCCCCCAGTGGTTTGCAGGGAATGGACTGGTTGCTCCCTGGTGAGTGTGACATTGCAACTGCAGCTTCCTGCTGAAGCTGCCTGAAATGGCCAGGCTTATAGAATGTCTGGCTTATAGAATGTTCTGCTCCTTTTCTATTTCAGTGGAATCTAATTTGTTCCAGAAAGCTGTTTGAGAAGTGATTTGTTTGAAAACGGAATCATTTCTTCCCACTAGAAAATATTCACTGAGCAATTTCCTGAGATGTAAATAACATGAGATTTGACTCATACTGTACATTCTCTCCTTTGCCCCCTGAGAGATAGGTTACTAATCATACTGATCATACATGAAAAGGTTGATCAGGTAGGGAACTAGAGTTTTGTTTGACAACCAAGACAGTTTTCTATGAACAATTTGGTGGAGAACCAAATTGTTTGAGATGGGAGACATTTGAGAACTGAGGTTTGACTGTATTAAAAGCTAGCTAATTACAATGGTATCACTTAGATTATAGTATCATGCATAACTGGGGGTTTTTCCATGTATAATTCTGCAATTGTTTCCATTTTGAACAGTTGTAGAGTTGGAAATCTTTGTCTCCTGAGTCTTTCCAGAAAACTTAGAATACCTTTTTATCAAATCCACCAGTTGCTTTGGATACCAATTTTTGGAAACTTATCTAAGCCATTTACAATGGGGGACCATGTTTCCAGGCCTTTCTCACTGCATCACATACGTCTTATTTCAGTATGAAACTGAGTGGCTTCACACAACAAACCTTTATTATCTCACAGTTTCTGTGGCTCAGGAATCCAGAAGCAGCTGAGTTGGGTGTTTTGGACACATGGCCTCTTGGGAGATTTCAGCGCACATGTGGGCCAGGTTGCAGTCATCTGAAGTTCTGCCTGAGAGTGGAGGAGCCATTTCCAGCCCCTGCCGTTGGCTGTGGGCAGCATGTGGGTCACTCCGAAAGGCTGCTCAGATAGCAGCGGCCTTCTACCAGAGCTGGTGATCAGAGACATAGAAAGCCACAGTGTCTTTGCAAGCCAGTCTCAGCAGTGACAGATCATTGCTTTTTCCATCTGCTAGGGTCACACAGACCAACCCTGGTATGGGCGAGAACCCAGCAAGGGTGTGAGAACCAGGAGGCAGCACCACCAGGGCCAGTTGGGAAGCTGAGGCACTGGACAGAATCTCATTGCGCTGATGGGACCCCAGGTGAGGAATATGTCCCTTAAATCTGAGAAGTTCTGCCAATGAGGCAAATACCATCCTCTTGGGGGAAGGAACATTTTGTTTCCCCTTTTGTGCTTGCTCCAATTCCTCTCACTTCTGCCTCTTTCAATAGTCTTCTTCTCTCCAGAAAAATCACTTTCTCCTCTTCCAGCCAGTCCTCCCAATGAGGTCCCTTCTCTTTTCCTGTCCTCTCCTCTCCTCTCCTCTCCTCTCCTCTCCTCTCCTCTCCTCTCTTTTCTTTCCTTTTCTTTTCTTTTCTTTTCTTTTCTTTTCTTTTCTTTTCTTTTCTTTTCTTTTCTTTTCTTTCTTCTTCTTCTTCTTCTTCTTCTTCTTCTTCTTCTTCTTCTTCTTCTTCTTCTTCTTCTCCATCTTCTCTCTCTCTCTCTTCCCTGAACTTCCTTTTACTTTTCCTTTCTCTCTGATTTAGTCACTTTTGAAAAAGCACACAAGGATTTTTATTTTCAAAACTAAGGGCCTAGTGCACGAATTTGTGCACCTTGAAAAGAACTGTGGTGGGCAAAGGGGAAAGTCTTGGACCATCCTCCACTCCCCCACCTGGCCCTTCCCACTGCAGCCCCTGGTCCCCACTCTGCCAGTAGTCCCACTCCCGTAGCCTATGCTCCCATGCACTGACTGCACCGGCCCCACTCACACCCACTGACGGCATGGAGCGATTGGGGCCGGTGCCAACAGGGGGTGCGAGCAGTGGCTGCTGCCCCAATCGTCCTTCAGGAGCAAGAGGAGGTGGAGAAGCCCTCAGGGGCTATCGAGGCTGGCAGCCACCACTCGCACCCACTGACAGCACAGAGCAATTGGGACTGGCGCCAGGCACCAGCAGCAGATGCGAGCAGTGGCTCCAGCAGTGGCTGTGGGTGCAAGTGGGGCCAGCACTGGCAGCAGGTGCAAGCATGGGGTGGGCCGGCAATGCGTGAGAACAAAGAATTTTCAGTAACCACCAGAGGCTCACCCCCGATGACAGCGACTGGCACCCCACCTTGGCCTGGTGCCCCCACTCACCTGCTCCAGCATCCCGCAGCGGCTGACGCCTGCCATGTTCCGCACGCGCCCCTGGTGGTCAGTGCACGTCACAGCGACCAGTTCAGTTCAGTTGTTCTGCCATTAGGTCTATTTGCATATTAGGGTGTATATATATATATATATAGGTTGCCAGGAACAAGTCCAAGAGGAATGACAAATAGATAAGTGCTCTGGCCATTGAGACTCGAGTTCTTTTCTCTGAAAGGACACTGACTTAGACTGCTGGAAGACTAATCTTTTGCAGCAGGGGTCCCAATGCTGGATTTGGCTTTCCCCAATTACTGTAGTATTTCAGTAAAGGCCCACCAGCTCACTTGGGGGAAGTGTTGTCAGGTGAGCAATCCTGCTCCTGGTGGGGAGTAATTACAGCTGACTCCATCCCACCCCGCCCTCTGGGTTCATAGGGACACTTTCCATGAGGCAGCCCTGCTCTGTGGCCTTAAAATATCATAAAATTCCTTAAAATCCGGGCACTTTGGAAACTGAGCAAAGTCTCGTGGTCTCATGTACCAACCCTGGTACAGTATGTGAGAAAAACTAGCCAATGTGTGAGAAACAGGAGGCGGCACCACCAGGGGAGACATCTGTAATACAACAATAAAGATTTTTAAAAATACTGTATGCCTGGCCAATGTGGTTCCCTGGTTGAGTGTCAACCTATGAACCAGGAAATCAGGGTTCAATTCCCAGTCGGGGCACATGCCAGGTTTGTGGGCTCCATGGCCAGGTTTGTGGGCTCCATGCCCAGTAGGGGGTGTGCAGAAGGCAGCCAATCAATGATTCTCTCTCATCATTGATGTTTCTATCTCTCTCCCTCTCCCTTCCTCTCTGAAATCAATATATATATATATGTAATACTGTAATATAAAGAAGACATGAAAGCAAAGTAATGTTATAAACTAAATGCATTCTGGAATAAGACTACACTAGAGCCACAATGAATTACCAGATGTTTGCACCTGAATTATTTATTCTGCAACAGCTGTTGGTGTAGTCTGACCAGCGGTGTTAAATCAATGACTCAGATACAGATACCACTAGCAGCATTGCCACTAGAGATAGGATTTTTGTGCAATGGTAAACAAGTCTTGGAAAGCCAAGAACAAAACAAATGATTAATATAGTCTTCTGTCCGTTTACTTAGTAAATACCTTTGTGTTTCTTGAAAATCCATTCAAAAACTACAGTTTTTCTCTCTATAAAATGGAGTTAGGGAGGTTCAGATATTACAGGTTTTAGATGCAGGGTTTTCACCCACATGAAGATCTGGAGCAACATTTGAAAGTCATGTGAGAAATATCAAAGGTCTTCATTGCACAGGATATCAGGCTCCTAAGTTCAAGTGTACACCTTCCCCCTCCCATTACTGTGACAGCAAACCCCTCCTGCAGAAATGCCATTGTAAGCTATAGGGGCCAGCTCCACTCCCATTGACAGTTACTGGCTGGGAGGAGCAAAGGGGAGATAGGAGAGAAGAAATGAACTTCTCTCAGCTCACGATGGGCAGAGGGCCCCGCAGTACCACAAGGACAGTCACCCTCAGCACATTCTGGAGCTGTGCTGTCAGCCTGTCTTAGAGATAAGTTATCCTGTGACCGCATCCACTTTTAGTCTAAGTCCCACTATTTAGTCCCTTTACCACCAGCCTTAGAGTCAATAATTTTTTAAAATATTTAGAAATCTATTTTTTATAGGTTTTATGTTCTCTTTGGGCCCCAGGTAGATTTCTGAAAATGGATTTAACACTTCCTGAAATGTTTATTATCTCACTAAAATGTTTGCATACTGTGGACCCAGCAATTTCACTTCGAGAAATGTATCATAAAAAAATAGTATTTTTTCCATATGTGCACCTTTTATTGACTTTTTCATGCATGTTACAGAGTTTTTGTATTGCCAAACCATGTCTGAGTATTCAAAGAAAGAAATGGTACAATGGACAGCCTATTCACCCATCACACATATTCTAGTACAGTATGCCATTAAATAAGTTCCACAAACCCATGTAAGTTCATTCCTCAAAATCAACAAAATTTTGCTGGAAAAAATGCATACTTTTCAGGGAAAATATGTGGCTCAAAGTACAAGAGATTTGTTAAGATTTTTGGATTCCAAGTGAAGTCTTCAGTTTAACCAACAATCCCTTGTTTCTCAATCACCCAGTGTCTCCTTGGCTTGTGCAGCAACTCACCCAAACACCTCAGATAACATCAACATTATTGCTCAGTCATGGTTGACAACTGCAAGCCTCCAGTGTGCTTGGGTCTGGGGTGATCCTATGCATCCCTACAGTACTTGCGAGAACAGTTGGAAACAGTTTGAGGCCTTGCCTGCTGCATCCGGAGCAAGGTAATAGAAGTTTCAGAAAGTTCTTTGCTCCCTTCCAGGTCTTGGTGTGCTGGGCGCGGTGGATCTGCACTGTCCCATGGTAACCACTTGGCACATACGGTTAAACTTAAGTAAAATTTTCAATTCAGTTTTTGTTCACAGCTGTGAAGTCCGCCTCGTTTTCTGCCACCCCTAGACGCTGTGAGAGGCTCACTGGGTCTGTGTATCCGGGAACTTGGAGGAGCACCCTTCTAGTGCCTCCTCGCTCAGATGCCCAGTTGTGTGGGCGAGGCTCCCGTTCTCAAACTCGGAGACCTGTCCTTCCTCAGTCTCCTCCCGGGGTCTTGACATCTTCTTGGGCTGTGCCTCCTCCTGGGGCTCCAGGGGGGTGATAGACTTCTTTTCAGAGCTAGTTTCAGTGGTCTGCAAAGGTTTAGTGCTCAGGAGGCTCCCTCGCTCCTTGTTGGTAGTTGCAGGGGACAGGGCCCGGGGCTTGGGCTGCATCCAGGAGTGGCTGAGGATCTCATCAATGTGCAGCCGTACGGTGACATCTGGCTGCAAGATGCGGTAGATGAGGTCCTTGCACTCCTTTGTCAGGTGTTTCGAGCGAGGAAAGTTGATACGGTGCTCCTTCTGGATGCGCAGCATCTTCTTGATGTTGGAGTCGTCATAGGGCATGGAGCCACAGACCATGATGTAGAGGATCACGCCCAGGCTCCAGATGTCATAGACCTTGGGCTGGTAGGGGATGCCCTGCAGGACCTCAGGAGCTGCGTACGCCGCTGACCCACAGAAGGTCTTGCTCAGGGTCAGTCGGCCGCTGTCATCCCGCAGACAGCGTTTAGAGAAGCCGAAGTCGGACAGTTTGATGTTGAAGTCCTTGTCGAGGAGGAGGTTCTCGCATTTGAGGTCTCGGTGGACAATGTCCAGATCGTGGCAGTACTTGATAGCTGATGACAGTTGGTGGAACTTCTTGCGAGCTTCATCTTCATGCAGGGCTCCCTGGTTTTTGATGAAGTCGAGGAGATCGCCCTGGGCCCCGAGCTCCATGATAATATAGACCTTGCCCTCGGACGTCTCAAAGATCTCGTAGGTCTTGACGATGGAGCGGTGGTTTAACATGATCAGAATCTCAATTTCTCGGGGAAGGAATTTCTCTAAGAAATCTGCAGGGGCTTTCTTGCGGTCAATGATCTTGACTGCCACATTGAACTTCAGGCGCTCAGAGTACGCGGATTTGACTTTTGCGAAAGAGCCCTCTCCCAAATTTGTCCCCATGATGTAGCCTCGTCGCTTGAGAACAGTAGCATCATCCATGGTGCTAAGAACACCCAGCACCTCTAAGGCTGTCCTCTACACACCTGTTAGACATGGGCCAGTGGTGTTCTCATTTACATAGGGCAGAGAGTCCTCTGAGCGGGCTGGGCCTGCTGTCCCTGCCTCCTGAAGGCCCAGACTCTGGGGGTGGAATGTTCAGCATTGTCTCCTAGGTGACCAGTGGGTGAAGTCATAGAGGAAGGGTGCCCTGCCCTAGCTGGTTTGGCTCAGGGGATAGAGCATTGGCCTGCGGACTGAAGGGTCCTGGGTTCAATTCTTGTCAAGGGCACATGCCAGGGTTGTGGGTTTGATCCCCAGTAGGAGGCATGCAGGAGGCAGCTGATCAATGATTCTCTCTCATCATTGATGTTTCTATCTCTCTCTTCCTTTCCCTTCCGTCTGAAATCAATAAAAATATATTAAAAAATAAAATACAAAATAAAGGAAGGGTGTCCTGAGGGAACGAGGCTCTAGGTTGAGCCACTGGGACTCGGAATCCCAGAAGGCTGGCCAGTGAGCTGGAGCCTACTGAAGGCCTGCAGAGAGCAGCCTCGCACTTCGCTGGACCTAGGGTGGGGGAGAGGAGGCGCTGTGGGGACACATTGGTCTGGCCATACCTCCAGTCCTAGAGCCAGGACTGCTTGTTGAGCAGTAGGGCTGGTTACTGCACTGGGAAATCCAGGGTGTTTGTAATAGTCCGAGTCCCAGCAGGAAACAAGAACACTCTGGTTGGGGCAGTCTGAGGGTCTCATAAGGGCATAAGTTACAAAGGTGGGAGCACAGTGTATAAACCTCAATGGTAGTCATACTCCTGGAAGAGACAGGGATGATCCCTGGCATCTGGGAAGGGTAGTGTAGAGAGGGCAACCTTGAGAGGCAGGACTGTAGGTGGAGGCACAGTGACTCCCACAGGCAAGGAGCTGGGGAGAAATGTCCCTGATCTTTTCTCCCTTCTTCAGTCCTGGAATCCTTCCCTGTGTCCACACAGGTGGCCCGTGGGCCCTGCAGCAGATGGAGGGTCAGGAGGGGCAGAGCCTCCAAGCCTGGGGTCACTGCCTTTAGGAAGCCATGGCTCTGCCCTCTCCTGACTGGTTTGGCTGGACTCTTAACCTCCCATACTTCTCTGACAGTGACCCCGCTTGGAGGACAGCTGGCAGGAACTTGTGCTCTTGCTGTGTGTTCCTTTCTGGGGGTCTGCACACCCCGAAGCCTTGGCAGGGCTCCTGGCATATCTGGGGCTGGGGCAGAGCTGGACCTGGATCCCACATTGAGTACCAGCAGCTCCTGGAATGCTCTGAGGATGTGCCAGTGGAGGAGTCAGCATTGGAAAGGGACCAGTTTCTGCCAGCAGTGGGGCCCTCTGCTGTGACAGCCCCTTTGTCTAGGCAGCTCTGGCCTAGCCTTTGGTTTCACCTTGGCCATATCCGCCCGGAGGGAGTTGGTACCTCTCAGATGGCCCAGCTCAGCCAATGGTCTGTGTGCACCAGACAGCGCAGGTACTGCCCTCCTCGGTGCTCATTGGGATGCAGGATGTTGCACTCGAGGTCCAAGGCTACAAGCAGTGCCTTCCTGCTCAAATTCCCTGTCCAGGCAAACCCAACAGGAAACTGGCAGGTTGGGAGTGGACGGACACCAGGCACCCAGCCCACCAGATGGGGAGAGAGGCATGGAATCTAGAGGCGGGAGGGATTGCCCTGTGTCCTTGCCTTGGTGTGAGGGCTGTTGGGTGCAGTCTGGGGTGGGCAGGATGGAAAGAGTGGCTAGTGTGGTCCTGGCAGGGACCCACTATACCTTCTTCCTTCCAGACGACTCAGATCTCTTCTGTCCGAGAGGAGTCAGGGTGGGAGCCCAGGTGTACTAGTAGTTTGTTACTGCCACTCTGGCCACTGGCACCTATAGCAGCCTCTGGCCATATGCGTACTGATTTTCACAACAGTTTAAAAAAAGAAAAGAAAAAGAAATGGTTGGCAGGTCCGTCAGGAGATCCTGTAACTCACCAGGAGTCTGATTCCTGCGTTAACACTTATCAAGACTCAACTTCCATAGAAATAGGCTCCCATATCAGTACAGTTTTACCTACCCACTTGCTTCACTCTTGCCAGTAGCAAGTCTGCAACTCCTGCCATTAGGCAAAGGGATTTATTACAGAGAAACCCAGACTCTGCATCAAGTAGTCACACACCACTTTGACATATTTCTATTGAACCAAAGATACAAAACTAGGAAATTGCCAGGCTGTCTCATTAGATGGACAGAAACTTTTTAGTAATCCTGGGTATCTTCCTGAAGTCCCTTTTCAGGATTAATAAATGCCTGGATAGTTTAAGCTGTAATTATCAAAAAGAGAAGTGCTATATCACCTGTCGTTCACCCTGACTTTAAAGACACACCAGAGGGTTGATAACAGAGCTACCCTGGGACAATTGCTACATTTACAAAATGTCCAATAACTTAAAAGTTTTGGCACAGGTATATCTGGAATTGTCAGAGACCATGCAAGATCCATGAAACCTAAGTGGGTTTTAAGTTGAGGTTCTGCTCATGTTGCTTTGAATTTATAAGAACAGATCAGTGTGTCCCTTGGCCTGAGCAGAAACCATCCTCTTTTCACTTCAGTTAACTTTACAGTTAGACCCGATTCCAGGAGGCTATAGCAGCACTTGAAGTAGAGCTCCCTGCATCTATTGCCCCTTACATCAAAGGCTATTTGGTTCCCCTCTAGGGATTGGCAATTTCACAATTCTAATGCATATTTCAGGTCACTTACTTAACCAAGCAATATGCTCTGTCAAAGAACTTCTTCCAAGTCAAAGTAAAAAAAAAAAAAAAAAAGGAAAAGGCATTAATGTGGAACATAGAGAAAGCACAGCTCAAATAAAAAAATTACTAAAAGAAACAGGATTATTCCCTCCCATGCCCCCTTCCCACTTGGTGGACCCAAGTTTCATTGAATTTGTGGTTACCTCAGAATACAAATCAAAGTTTAAATTAGAAATCACAACCCTACACAGAGTGTCTGAACACATCTGTTCTTGTGAAAGCAGCACCTTCCAGGAAGTCTAACAGCCACAGTCAGCTACAGAGAGCATTCCTGGTGGGTGGGGCACAGGACAGGTTAGTTAAGGTCACTTAAATCTTCACCTTTTTCCCCAACTGGTATGACTCAGTGGTTGAGTGTCGACCTATGAACCAGCAGGTCACAGGGCACATGCCCTGGTTGCAAGCTTGTTCCCCAATACAGGGCGTGCAGGAGGCAGCCAATCAATGATTTTCATCATTGAAGTTTCTATCTCTCTCTCTCTCCCTCCCTCTCCCTTCCTCTCTGAAATCTATCTATCTATATTATCTATCTATCTATCTATCTATCTATCTATCTATCTATCTATCTGAAGTCCTCACCAGTTTGACTCAGTGATTAGAGTGTTGACCCTCAGACTCAAGGGTCTCAGGTTTGATTCCGGTGTCAAGGGCACATACTTCAGTTGCAGTCTCGACCCCTGACCCCAACTGGGGGACATGCAGGAGGCAATCAATCAATGTGTGTCTCTCACATGGATGTTTCTCTCTGTCTCTTCCCTTTCCTTCCACTCTCTCTAAAAAAAATCAATGGAAAAAATAGCCTCAGATGAGGATTAACAACAACAAAAATCATCTTTTATAGCAAACCGAAACTCAGACAGATGATTCTCTGCAGGATTTCTGATAGGTATCCAGCAGAGCTGGTTGCAAGTTTTGCATTGCCACTTAACAGCTGTAACCTTCTAATCCAGAAGTTTTCATCCACATGAGTCCACATGAGTGCAGCAAATTTGAGGTACTCAACCTTACAAAGGCTCAGTACCTGAACATAAAAAGATTTTAAAATAACCACTCGCTGCCGTGCGTGTGTGTGTGTGTGTGTGTGTGTGTGTGTGTGTGTTTTACAATCTCCCTAAATTCAATATACATGAAGAGCAGTTGTGACACTTGAAACTTCCATAGTTCAATAGGGCCGGTCACTTATATAGAGGGGTCTGCATTGGTTGCTGTCAGTCCAGCAGAAATCAGATGATAATGGCTGTTCGTAGTGATTAGTGTGGTCAGTTACCTTAGAAGGGTTAGCAAAGACCATTTCTTAATTGTACTGTATGTTTGTTTTTTGTTTGTTTATTTTTTTTATTGTTAAGCATAGTATGCTGGTTGTCTAGCTGAAGTTTAAGGGCCTGGTTTTTTGAAACCTCATCTCTGCCTCTAGTTTTGTGTCTTACTAACGACTTCAAAGCTCTTCTCCATTTCTTTATCCTTTTGGCTTTCTACCTTCTTGGCAATGGACTGCAGGGATTGGAATGGTGTATCACTGTATGTTTTCTGGTGGCCCTTGTGATGTTTTCCTTGTGGTTAGCCTGGCTCCAGGAGGCCTATAGACACCATTAGTCATTGCCAGTTCTGGCGTTTCTGTAACAATTACTGGAGCAAGGGGTGCTTTTATCAGAGCTGTTTTATTCCAGGGACCTGAAGATTTTTCTACACCACCACCACCACCTTCACCTTTTTCCCAGTTGTCACCTGGATCTTCTCTTTTTTCACTGTCATCTTCTTCCTCTTCACTTATTTGCATCGCCTGAACTGTGAGGCTTCTGTAGTCAACCTCTTTTTAAAAAATCTATTTTTATTGATTTCAGAGAGGAAGGGAGAGATAGAAACATCAATGATGAGAGAGAATCATTGATGAGCTGCCTCCTGCATGCCCCACAACCCAGACATATGCCCTGACCAGAAGTCGAACTGTGACCTCCTGGTTCATAGGTCAACACTCAACCACTGAGCCACACCAGCCAGGCTAGTCAACCTCTTTTTTGCTCAAATTCTTTCCACTCATCTTCATCCTTCCTCATGGTGGCAACCCCAGGGCCCACCCCCCACCCAGGCGTTCTCTGTCCGGTTGCTTCGCTCCTTCTTCTTGTTTTCCCTCTAATCAAAGGAATTGTCTAGGCTCTGCTCCTCCGTTTAGGCCATGGCCTTGGCCTTCTCCACCTGGATGGGTGGGGGTGGGGTAGGTGCGGCCCGTGGGACTCCAATAATGGTAATAATTTGAATGAGGCCATAGCTACACATATGCTCATCAAGCCTGCTTTATGATTGTAAAAATGAAAAATTATGTAATTGTGCAACAATAAAGGATTGGTTGAATGAAATCATAGCTACCGTGGATTATTAGGAATTAAAAATCAGGTTGTTAAAGCTATTTAATCACCCATGGGAAAGGGTTACAAAATATTAGGTACCTTCCGATCTCATTTGTATGTGTTTACAAATGTGTATATGTGTAGCCAAAATATATCACTAGGAGGTGATACACTGGCTTATTAACAAGGGTTTATGTGGGCTGTATACTTGTAGAATATTTCCATTTTAAAATTTCAATTTATCTTTAGTTTCCAGAATTTCTACATAGAACATGTTTATTTTATTTTTTCTTTTTAAAGAATGGCTTTTTTTTTAACCTTGTTTTATTTTTTATTTTTTAATATATTTTATTGATTTTTTACAGAGAGAAAGGGAGAGAGATAGAGAGTTAGAAACATCGATGAGAGAGAAACATCGATCAGCTGCCTCCTGCACATCTCCTAATGGGGATGTGCCCGCAACCCAGGTACATGCCCCCGACCGGAATCGAACCCGGGACCCTTCAGTCCGCAGGCCAACGCTCTATCCACTGAGCCAAACCGGTTTCGGCAACATGTTTATTTTTTAAGTAGATTTTTATTTCTGAGAGGAAGGGAGAGGGAGAGAGAGATAGAAATATCAATGATGAGAGAGAATCATGATCAGCTGCCTCCTGCACACCCCACACTGGGGATGGAGCCTGCAACCTGGGCCTGTGCCCTTGACCAGAATCAAACCTGGGACCCTTCAGTCTGCAGGCTGACGCTCTATCCACTGAGCCAAACAAGCTAGGGCTGGAACATGTTTCTTTTATAATGAAAAAAGATGGTAGTTTTAAAATGCTTTCTGGCCCTAACTGGTTTGGCTCAGTGGATAGAGCTTCACCTGCGGACTCAAGGGTCCCAGGTTCGATTCCGGTCAAGGGCATGTACCTTGGTTGCGGGCACATCACCATTAGGGGATGTGCAAGAGGCAGCTGATCGATGTTTCTCTCTCATCGATGTTTCTAACTCTCTATCCTTCTCCCTTCCTCTCTGTAAAAAATCAATAAAATATATCTTAAAAAAAATAAAATGCTTTCTGGAAGAATTTCATTTTAGCTATTTGGTAAAGTCCACGATTGCCTCTACCCTGTATTTGCGCAATTCCAATTTTAGTTTAGCAGAGGTTGGCAAGTTTCTTAAGATTGGCAGGATTTATGACAGTTCAGCCAGTTCTGCAGAACCGTTGACTAGGCCTGGAGGATTATCCCCTCTTCCACCCCGTGTACAAAGAGTTTTATTGAGCTGTTAAGACCATGTAGTCATTGAACAGGACTGGACATGAAGCAATACAGGCCCCAGGAACTGGGGTGACCTGCGAGAGCTCCCTCCTGGGAATTCCACTTGCACGGGCCTGGGGATTGGCCAGTGTGTTTGCTGGTGTTTGTACTTGAAAGGTTCTCAGGTCAAAGGCTGTGGCTGCAATGTGTTCAGGGAACATGCCCAGGCCTCTCCACCAGGGGTCCCTTATAACAAGTGATGTCCAGAAGCCTCTGGATAGAGACCTCAGGGCCTTGTTGCGGAGGGGGGTGGGGGGGGCGGTGCTCTGGGGAGTGTCACTGCTGCCCCCTCAGGCATAGCCAGGCATTTCCATGCAATCACCCCAAAGTACCAGTCTCAGAGTCACTAAAGCCTGGCTGTGATGTGTGATATGGAGGCCACAGAAACTGCAGTCAGGGGCGCCCTACAAAATCAAAGAGCTATATTTTCCAAAAACAGTTTTCACAGCACTTAAAACAATTTACAAAAAAAGGTACAAAAATCATCCCTGGCCGGTGTGGCTGTGGTTGAGCATCGACCCATACACCAAGAGGTCCCCAGTTAGATTCCTGGTCAGGGCATATGCTCAGGTTATAGGATCAGTCCCTAGTAGGGAATGTAGCTGATCAATGATTCTCTCAGGATTTCATCAGTGTTTCTATCTCTCTCTTCCTCTCCCTTCTTCTCGCTCTAAAAATCAATAAAAACATTTTTTTTAAATAAGGAAATCCAAGGGTGGTGCCTGGTCATACTGTTAAACAAATAAACAATAAAAGGTATAAAAATCATATTTATTAGGACACATGTTAAATAAGGGCATCGTTTCCTGTTAATGTATGTATGTACAGGGCGGTTACAGTGGCCCCCGTTCCTCTGCTACCCACAGTGTCACCTATACATGCACAGGTACAAGCACATACATGCGCCATCCACAGATACGCTGGCACCAGGACCTGTACTCACAGCTTGAGGACTTTACCCCTGACCGTGGGCCACCGTCTTCCATGGAGATGTCGCTCAGCTCACTGGGGTCACTGCCCCATGCCTCCTGTTCTCCTGCCTCTATCCACCCTCCATCTATACCTCAGGTCTAAAATGTCCTCGTCTGAACCCAAGTTCCTGCTGTCGTGTGAGCCAAGTGCTGCCAGTGCCTTCCTCTTGGGCCAGTGCCCACACTTCTTCTTCATGAGCAAGTGTGAGCTTCCAAACACGGGCCACTCTGCGGTCCCAGAAGGCGAGCCCCCCAGGAGGCATTATGCCCACATTGGAGAGCAGCGGGGAGAAACCTGCAAAGGGCAGGCCTTTCTTGGGGCCAGTGGTGAGGCCAGTCCCCTTCTCCCTCTCACTCTCCAGTTCCCCTTTCCATGCCATATCCCTGCCTTCCAAGCTCAGCGCCCACGTGCTCTGTAGCCAACTCTGGTGGGTGAAGTCGCCCTGTGGGAGAGCGAGGTGGACCTGGGGTCCCCCTCCCTGTCCCCTTCTGGCCTGCAGCTCCCAGAGGTCATGGGCAAGGCCCCAACTGTGGGCCACCGTGGGCTCTGGTCTTTGTGAGGATAAAGTTTTCTCATACCTGGCAGACAAAGGGTCCCACTGGTGCTCCTGGGTGGCGCCAGCTGGTCTCTGGACAGAGCAGTGGGGAGGCAGGCCGGCTCTGTGCGGGGCCACCCCTCGGTCCGTAGCTGGCTGAGGGGTCCCCCTGCCCCTCCGGCCCTGTGTGACCAGGGCTGGGGCCACCACCTTCCGGCATAGTGGCTCTGGCCAGGGCACACCTCCCAGCCGAGCATGGTGGGAACCCCCTCCTTGAATTTCTGAACTGCTCATGGACTCCTTGTCCTTTTTGGCCAAAACCTTCCAGATTTCCAGCTCGATGCTGTTGTCACTGTCCACGGAACTGTGTCAGACTGAGAGCTGGGGCTGGCGGCTGATTGGTGAAGGTCGTGGAGAACAGATGCCCTTCCCAGGCTCTTTAACTTGATGGGAAGGCCAGGGACGTGCTCAAGGGCCAGGCCCAGCCCTGCACAGCTTTGTTCTCTCTGTGGGGCTGTGCGAGCTGCTGGAAGGTTTCCTCAGTGGGTCCTCCCTGCTGTCCCTTTTGGACTTTGACAGGCGGCTTTTCAACAAGGGCGGGCTTCTGTCCTTCCAGCCTCTCTGGAGGCCACCCGCTGACCCAGGGCCCGTGTCTCCGTGCACCTTCCTGCACACAGCTCTGGGGTCTCAACACCTACAAGGCTTCTTGAGCTTCCACTTGAATCGTAACAAGTCCTTAATGGCGGTGTCCAGGTCCTCGCCGATGTCCAGTGAGCTACTCCTGTCCTAGGAGCTCTCCTTCTCGTCCACACTCCTTGCCTCCACAGCCTTCCCGTGGCCCAGTGACACGCTGCCCCTCGTGTCCAGGGCCACATGTTCATCACTCAGCCCGACAGTCCTGCAGGGGAGAGGCTACCTCCTGGCCTGCCCTCCCTTCCAGGCGCCTCGCTGGCTTTTCCTTGGCTGGGCTGTGCTTTTCTCTGGCCGAGGGCAGCATCTGGGGCACCCTCCTTTGCCACCTCTCTTGTTTTCTTGGGTATGGACGGCCACAGGGTGTTGCCGCCACCTCTGCATTGCCCTTTGCATCTCAGCGACAGGTCCAGTGTTTTAGAGATAGGGGCCTTGGGGCCACCAGCCTGCCCGTTGGGGCCAGGCATGGCCAGTGGGCTGTGTGAGGACTGTGGGCAGGTGTCCCTCCTGGCCTGTGCTTTTAGTGCCCAAAACATCCGGATCTCCTGCTCTAGGCTGTCGTCACTGTCCACGGAGCTGCTGTCACCTTCTGAGCAGGAAGGCTGGCAGACAGAGGTCTGTCACCACCCTCCCTGGGGGTCGCAGGATCATTTTGGAAATGTCCAGGATCCCTTCAGTGCACATCAGCTCCACAGACATGTCTGCCCGACACAAGGACCGGTCCACAAACTTGCTCTTGGCTGCTGTTCCTGGGGCTACAAGGGCTTTGGCTTCTTTCGGAGGCTTGGAGGATGGTCAGGCTCAAGGCTACCCAGGCCAAGGTCCACAGCCTTCGAGGCCAATGGCTTCCACTTGCCTGGCATTTTCCTGGGGGTTTAGGGCAAGGCAATTTTTGTGGCATGGCTCGTGCCATGGATAGGAAGGCCAGGCTGCTTCTCCTTGGGCAGGGTTTTCTGCTGTGGGTCCCTGCTCACCTCCTTCCTCTTCTCCAGCCAGTACAGTTGGATGACCTCCTCCAAGCGGTCGTCACTGCCTGAGCCCCCAACTCTTGTGGCCTTGTAGATTTTTGTGAGTGAAGAACTTAACAAAGAAAGAAGCTGCAAGCTGTAGTGATGAGTGCAAAGGCCACTGAGCACCTGCCCCATCACCCCTACCATCCGTATTTGCCATTGGACAGTCTACTTTGGTTTGGCCTGGTTGTTTAATTAACAACCTTTGTCTGAGTACTAGAGTGATACAGATTCTGTCTCTTTATTTAGTAGCACTTGGTGGCCCCCAATGGTAGTTAACTATTGACTATGAAGATAGTAGTCACCCCTTAACTCGGCTGAGTACCCAGCTAACTCATTCTTAAAGCACACCTGGAAGATGGAAGTTTCTAAAAGTTGCTTTACTAATGAAGACAGCAAGGCACCAAGAGGTTAAAAGATTGGCATATTTACCAAATTCTAGTATAGTGCTTGTATGGGTCAGGCACTATTCTAAGTGCTTGGCAAATTTTAAGCCATATATGCTTCATAACAACCCTATAACATGAATATTGCCATTATGATCCTTTTGAAAATGAGGAAAACCAGGCACAGAGAGGTTAGGCAACTTGACCAAGGTCACACAGCTAAGAATTGAACCTGGATTTGAGACCAGGGGGACTGGTTCTAGAGTCCATGTGCTATGCTGCCTCTCCCAAAGCCTGTTCTTAGGTTTCCAAAGGCTGCTTCTGTTTGGGGACCAGCCACAGAAAATGACTGACAGCAACTTTATGCAGGAGTAATCAGCCATGATCTGCATGATGGGAGAACAAGGGCAGACTTAGAAGGATGTGTGATGTGAAGCAATCATTGATCCGATGAAAGCCAGCCCAGAGTGATACAACCCACAGATAGAAGGAAATCTTTGCCCTCGCTCTTGTTGGGGCATGCAGAAGAGGTCAAAGACAGCACGAATCCTGAAATACAGATCTGGTGGCTCAGCTGACATTCTCTCGGCTTAAGCTCACCCATATTTCAAGAGCAAAGAGTTGGGAATCCATTTTTCCACACTTCTACATTGGCAAATAGAAAGAGACGCTCATATCCACCATTATTCTCACACTTTACCATGGATTCAGGAGACCTGTGTTTCCATGAAAACACTATGGCACCTCTTTCAGTGAACTTCCCTTGGGGTTCTGTCATGAGTCAGTACATCTTGTCTTCCATGTTTACAAAATACATTGCTAATGTTAAAATCCTTTTTTGATATCTCATTGTTCCTGGGACAAAGATCTAAGTCCTCAATGTGGTCTAAAAGGACCAAGATGATCCACCGCCAACCCTGATTCCATTTCTCAAAAGCGGCTTTGATCTGGGACTGTACTGGGCCTGCCCTCCTCCTGTCCTCCACCCCCACCCTGGTTAGTCAGTGCCGCTCAGTGGTCAGATCAGATCTGAAAGGTTTTTTCTTCAGCCTTTCCTGACTGCTCCCAGCTTTCCACAACCCTCTTTACAATGGAAATGTATTCATTATATGTGTAATTATATGTGTAATTTATCCATTCAAAACCTGCTGGAGCTCCTGGTGCTGGAGACTCGAGAAGTCCAAGACCCCCTTCTCTGTCTGCAGTAAAACACACGGGCAGATCTGGGGCACACCTAGCCCCGCGCCTGGAGCCAAGGCTGACCTCCATGTGGCCATCGTAAAGCCCCCACCCCCACCCGGATCCGCGCCTGGACATTTAAAGACCTGAGCTTAGGATTCCTGCCACCAGTTCCTGCTATCATTTTCCCGGAGCACCTTTTAAAACGTGGAGCCTAAATCTGAACCCAGTACCTAGGTGCAATACCGCTGGCACACAATTAGCACTTTGACCTGGGAACTCCTCTGAAGAGACCCTAGAGTTGTCTCTTGTGCTGTCACCATCAGCCGCGTCATGCTGTTAGCTCACGTTGAGTGTGTGAATCAATAACTAGAGCCAAAAGGTTTTCCCCATTGACCTCTCAGTATTACATGGGGAATCGATTTTTGGGTCCTAGTCAAGTAGACAGGGCAGCATTTTACAACTGTTAAAGCACGGCCTCTTTAAAAACCGGTTAGCGGCAGAACCATTTATAGAAACCAGATGATCTGACTTTTGGCCCGACCATGTTGCTAATTTTTATCATCACGTGTATTGAGCGAAGGCGGCACCGGCAGGACTGGACGCACGATAGGACTGGCTTGCACGATTTCCAATCGTACGCGGCTACTTGTGGTTTTAAATCCAAGAAGGCGCTTTTCCCCCGTGTCCGGGAGGCGGGGCCCCACTTCCCAACGCAGGCGCCCTCGGGTCCCGGTTCCGCACCCGCCCGCCAAGGGGTGACCCCATAGCCCTCAGCCCCGCCCCCTTCTGGCGCAGACACCCAATGGGCGGCTGCAGCCCTCTCCTGTGGGCGGGGAATTCCCTGAGATCTGTCCTGGTTGGTCCACGGGCCCGGCGAGGAGTATGACGTATCACCGCCTCCATTACTCCGCGCTGCGGCTAAGGCGTGGCTTCCGCTCCGGGCGCCTGAAGGAGACTCGGAGACACCTGGGTCGCTCTGCTTGCGTCGCTGGCCCTGCCACTACCCTCAGTCCATGAGGAAGATGCTCGCCGCCGTCTCCCGCGTGCTGTCGGGCGCTGCCCAGAAGCCGGTGAGTTGGCGCGAGCCGCCCGGTATATGGCGCGAGCGGGGCCGAGGCTGGAGGACCCGGAGAGTGGGCCGGGCCTTGGCGCGCGGTGTGGCTGTAACTATGGCGCCGCGGAGTGCCTCCGGAGCCGCGAGCCTTTATTTTGCCTCCAGGCGATGCGTTCCTGGCCAGGCCTGGGGAGGAGCCGCTGTTGGGCCGCCGGCGCCGACCGGGTGGGGTGGGGGCTTTACGATGGTCGCTTGGAGGTCAGCCGCGGCTCCGGGCGCGGGGCTAGGTGTGCCCCAGATCTGCCCGTGCGTTTTCCTGCAGACAGAGAAGGGGGTCTTGGACTTCTCGAGTCTCCAGTTGACCACCCTTCCCGGTCCACTCATTTAAAAAAATGTTTTTAATTGTTGGTAGTATTACATCTGTCCCCCTCCCCAACCTCCCCTCACACTTACCGGCCCCGCTGTAATTGGTCTTCCTAATTACATTCCTCTTGACCCAGAGGCCGTGTAGAATGTTCAGAGCATGGAATCCGGAGACTGAGTGGCTCCTTCGAACACCATCCTCACCATTTACTAGCCCTGCGACCTTGGGCAAGGTGTTTTTATTTTTAATTCTCTCCCAGGATATGTTTCTATTTATTTTGCAGGAAGAGGAAGGGAGAGAAACATTTATGTGAGAGAGTTGAACCGGCTGCCTCCTGCACGCTCCCTACTGGGGACCGAGCCCGAAACCTGGGCATGTGCCCTGACTTGGAATGAAACCGGGAACTCTTGGCTCATGGGTCGACGCTCAACCACTGAGCCACACCGGCTGGGCTGTATTGAGTTTTGAGTTGCAGTAATCTGTTAACTGGATAGAACAAGAGTGGAATGTAGCTTCATTCCGTCAGAAATTCTTGTTGAGAGAAGACTATTGTAGTGGTAATGGATTCCCCACGTATAACATTTCTTTTTCTTTCATTTAATTTTTTTTAATGAGGATAAGAGAGTGAAAGAGTTAATGCTCCTTACTTTGAGCCACCCCCCTTTTTGGCTATTTTGGGTATTTTTCCTGTTGCCTGCATATGTAGCACAAAGGGAAATATTGTTAAACAACTAGGTATTAACCCTAGATTGTGTGTCTGTGGCCTGAACCCCTGTTTAATAGTTCCCCCTTTTTGCAGCAGAGCAAATCCACTAACCAGTGTTTCTATAAGCTGTAATAATTGATGTGTTCCCAGAGTGCTCATTGCACTTTGGGCTCTTGGTTCTAGTGTGCTCATTCATCATCAGGTTTCAGTTGTGTTAACACAGGCTGCTTAGAGGGTTCAATGTGTTGGTTTTAGAATCATCATAGACCTATACTTTGTTTTTAAACTTAAGTACCTGTCATTTCATATTTGAATGAGGTTGAGAGTTATCAAAATTTTTATTTCACAGAAGATTAAGTTTCATTTAAAATTTTTATTCTTTGTCTTATTGTTTGTATTTATGACTCCTTTTGTGAGACTTTTTTTGGTGTGAGATCTTTACTACCAGTATTTTTTTTATTGACTTTTTATTTTTTAGGTAAAATGTTTCACTTATACTGGTAGAATCTGGAATTTTAAAAATATTTTCTCTTTCACTTGAATGGTTGCTCCTCAGGGGAGACCTGCAGCCAAGCTACTCCTCCCAATTCTTTTTTTAAAAAATTTTTATTTATTGATGAGAGAGGAGAGAGAAACATTGATGTGACATTAATCAGCTGCCCCCCATCCCCCAGGATGGAGCCCACAATCTGGGCATATGCCCTGACCAGGAATTGAGCCCATGACCTTCTGGTGCATGGGATGACCCTCAACCAACTGAGCCACACCAACCCTCCCAATTCTTGATCACTGCACTATGGGTGTGGGACCTGCCTGTTCTGTGTCTCTACCCGTCCTACCAGTCTTGATGTGGCTTTATATTCTTGACTGGGGGCCCGGTAGCCGGCAGTTGGACATCTCCCCCAGGGGTCCTTAGCGCTGCTACCACCACCATCACCACCACCACCACCACCACCACCACCGCTGTGCTCGCCAGCCTTGAGCCTCACCAGCCTTGAGCCAGGCTTCTGGGGGAGTTGTGCTCCCCCTATGGGAGTGCGCTGACCACCAGGGGGAAGCTCCTATGTTGAGCTTCTGACCCCTGGTGGTCAGTCCGCATCATAGCGACTGGACTGGTCGGTCCACTGTTGGGTCTATTTGCATATTAGCCTTTTATTATATAGGATTATGGGGCTTCTGATAACCTAGTCTTCAGGTGGTTCTCAGTATTCTATAATTTAATTGTAATTTTGATATGATCGTGGGAGGAGGTGAGCATAGCATTTACCTACTCCCCTATCTTTACTGGAAATCCCAAATATTTTTTTTAACTGCTAAAAATAACACATCTGTTTTGTGATTGCCAAATATAACCTTTTGTCTGTCACCTTACCCCTCTCAGCTCCATTTCTTCCCACATTTCTCAATTTTCTTCATTTATTCTTAGGTATTTTAATGGACTTTCTCTACTTCTAACTGAACTGAAACATTTGTTTCTAGTATTTAAGCTTTTTTCTCTCCAGCAACATCATTTCCTTTACTTGTTGGTTTTATTAGATAATGGTTGATAGATAAAGAGATAAGAATAGTTTTCTGCCTGTAGGCTTGTACACTTGGAGGTACATTTATCAGTTAATCTTAACCCCTCACCAAGATGAAGTCCAGTATTAGAAGTTGGATGACTATGAACATATCAAAAGCACTTAAAAAATTTTTTTTTATTTCAGAGAGGAAGGGAGAGGGAGAGAGAGATAGAAACATCAATGATGAGAGAGAATCATTGATTGGCTGCCTCCTGCACATCCCCTCCCCCACTGGGTATGGAGCCCACAACCCAGGCATGTGTCCTTGATCAAGATGGAACCTGGGACCCTTCAGTCTGCAGGCCAACGCTCCATACACTGAGCCAAACCGGCTAGGGCCAAAAGTACTTTTTGTGGCATCTGAAGATTGTGCTTCAAGTCTCTATGAAAAAAAGTCATGTTGGTTTACACATCAGTGTGTGAAAATGTGGCAGAGTGTGGCTAAAATAGTCCGATAATGCTAATTAGTTCAATGTTTATGGTCTAACCTGTACCTTAGCCATCACATAGAATATTTTTGCTGCAAGTAGGTATGTTCAATTATAAGAATGAAAAGCTTTTTACCCCACCGAGCGGTGACAGCCACTCAAACATCAAGAAGGGAACACTGTTGTAGAGAACATCTCTCCCTTGTGGGGCTTCAGGAGGAACCTACCCAAGATATAATCTGTTTACATTATAAAACAACCCTCAAGTCTATTGTTTTTAAGTCAGGGAGTGCTAAGTAACATTTCTTTTGTCTTACATATTTCTCACTAATATATTTCTCATACTTTGAGTACTCTGAAATATTTTTCTTGTAGATCCATTTCATAGAAAAGTAGTTTGCCTGAAATAGAGATTGAATCATAGTTTTATTTGAAAAATGATTCTTAAAGTGAAGCTTAAGCTTGCTCAGTATATCTGGTTACGACTAAAGTAGCATAAACAAAGCGCACAGATTATCTAGTCTTTTCAACTTGGCCTTTGACTTCATTATATCCTCACTGTAATTTCTTTGAAAACAAAGTGATTGAGTGGATTGGTTTAGTTTTTGCCCCCATTTTCTTTCTGCTGTTTGTCTTCAGATAGGGGTACAATCGTGTTTCATTGGCCAAAGCATGGATTCATTTGGAAGACAAGATCTCAGTGCAGTGCAGAGAAGGGAGATAAGCCAGTGAATATGTTGGGGCTTATTCAAGTTCCAGGACTGCATCCTGCAAATGGATTAGTAATAGTAATGACTTTAAAAATAACTGAGAATAAAAATACTGATATATTTGTATATTTTGGTCTTTCAAGGCAAGCAGAGTGCTGGTGGCATCCCGTAATTTTGCAAATGATGCTACATTTGAAATTAAGGTAAGAGGTGTTTTCCTTGTGTTAACTTTTCTGCAGGTCCCCTTTGATATACAGTTTTACCCTTGGAACAGAACATTTGATACTTTTGCTTTTTTACCATTTTCTTTCAAGTGTTTTAGAATCAAAGGTTCATAGACATTTAGCAAAAATTTATACTTCTTACTTAGCAGCTTGCTGGTGTTTGGGGTAGAAAGAAGGGCAAGCTAAAAAAAATTAAAGACTCCAAAGTTTAGAATGTGATTCGGTAAAACTTGTGAGTGAGAAGATTCTTTGAATACTTCTTTGAAAGTTTGTCTTTCAACCTATAACTCATTTGACTTCAAGGGGTTTACAGTGAAAGTCATCTTAGAAAGATTTCCTTCCTCCAGTACCCCATCCCATTACATAGTGAACTTGATGATATAAGGGGTCAGAAGCAATATGCAGCATTTCTGATATATTCCTGTGGGTTTTTGAGATAAATATTATTTGTGATGGAGTTAGATCTCAGAATGGGGCTGGCAGTGTTTACATTGTAGTAACTGGAAGACAACTGATTCCATTTCAGAAGTGTGACCTTCACAAGCTGGAAGAAGGCCCTCCTGTCACCACAGTGCTCACCAGGGAGGATGGGCTCAGATACTACAGGATGATGCAGACTGTCCGCCGAATGGAGTTAAAGGCAGATCAGCTGTATAAACAGAAAATTATTCGTGGTTTCTGTCACTTGTGTGATGGTCAGGTGAGTGATAGTTTTGTAATAAAGTTGTGTTATTTAGGAATTTAAGTGTGGCTTCTACTTGGTGGCTATTACTCTGCCTTACACATTGGAAGGATTCCAGGCTGGTATTGTACAATAAAAGTGAAAATGCTGAGTGAGACGTGCTATGCAGCTTATGCTAAAGAATCTATTCATGCATTACATTGCTGATTTCCTATGCCTTTATGGTTTGTGATCACCTGCATTGGATATACTTTTGGGGTAAAGGGTTTTATCAAGGACTACAAATTTAAATGCCTACAGGGACCAGCTAGGTAGAATAAATGAGTGAAGAAAGCTAGCTATACAAGACAGTGTGACAAGGACTGGTGGTGAACTGGAATAGACAAGTTCCCTGCAGGTCCCACTTGCAGGGGATGTCATGTCTTGGTTCCAGCCAGTTGGTGCCATATGGAAATATGGGGCTAATGCTTCCTATTCATTTCTTCACACGACAGAAGACTCGATTTTCTTGTGAGATTCCTTCTATTTTAATGTTGACAGCTGATTTGGGATTTCTTTTTAAATCACCTTACAGCCCAAAGAAAACATACATCTGTGGATTGGCAGTTTATGGCTTCTGCTTGGGCCTTACCCTCCACTCTGTTTCTGATCATAGAGCTACTTTCTGTGGTTATTAATGAAGAGTTCAGCTAGGTTATTGTTTCATATCAGTCTAGGAAACCTTTTATGTAGAACTGTGTATTGTATTGATTAATTGATGCTTCTTCCTTTAATGCAGGAAGCTTGTTGTGTGGGCATGGAAGCTGGCATAAATCCCACAGACCATCTGATCACAGCCTATCGGGCTCATGGCTTTACCTTTACTCGTGGGCTTTCTGTACGAGAAATTCTCGCAGAGCTTACAGGTTTGCTATTAATTTACAAAAAGGGGAAATTAATGAATTCAGTTTTTAAATCTCTCCTATTAAGATGCTAACTCCCACCCTGGTCTATTTGGTTCAGTGGATAGAGCGTCAGCCTGCAGACTGATTCGATTCTGGTCAAGGGCACATGTCTGGGTTGTGGGCTTGATCCCCAATAGGGGTGTGCAGGAGGCAGCCAATCAATAATTCTCATCATTAATGTTTATATTTGTTTCTCCCTCTCCCTTCCTCTCTGAAATCAATAAAAAAATGTTAAAAAAAGATGCTAACTCCTTATGAGTTAATATTAAAATGTTGAATTAAAAAAATACATTTTCTCCCTTTTGAGTAAACTGACCATTTTTGAGGTCATCTGAGCCTTCAGGTTAAAGTTTAAAAAGATTAGCTCTATGAAATCAGAATTGTGTTTATTATCACTGTGACATGCCAGCAGAAATCTAGCAGTCATTGAGTAGAAGCATTTCATGGTAAACAGTGTAAATTCTAGGAATCTCCTTAGTATTTCCTTTTGGCTCTTGAACTATTTAGTGTGCCAGTGTAGCAGAAATCAAATGTTTGTAACTGCCAAAGAAAAACAACAAACCAGTCCTAACATCTGAGGGGAACTCGCTGATGATAGAGCTGGAAGGTTAGGACCTGGGGCTAGTCTGACCTTTATTATAAAAGGACCTGGAGAAAAGGAGGAATATGTGTTTGCACAGAGGGGCAGGTGCTTATACAACTTAATTGGCCTCTAGAGTTCTAATGGATGAGCCTCTTAAGTAAATGTTTGGGTGTGGTTTTGTTTGCATATTTGGTCTTTGATGCATATGTGTGCGTGCTGCCATTTCTAGGACGAAGAGGAGGCTGTGCTAAAGGAAAAGGAGGATCAATGCATATGTATGCCAAGAATTTCTACGGGGGCAATGGCATCGTTGGAGCTCAGGTAGTGGAGGATGGGGATTGCATGCTTTCCTAGATTTGGCCCTCATCTCTCTTTACAATAGTTCATGCCCCAGCGAACTTCCCTCTGTTGTATTTTAGTACTCTTGGAGCTTAGAGTGCTTAACAGACCTATTGCTTCGTACCCTACCATTTGATCATTTAATAAATAGATTTGGACAATGACTTATAAGTAAGCAAGAGCCTCTAGCAGTGGAGCTATACCTTTACTTTTTTATTTATATTTAAGTACATTAATTGCTTTGTCACATCCACTTGGCCCTACTTCTTCTTCCTGCTATAGACAGTGCTGATGCTGGTGCCAGACCAGGAGAGGCAGATGATCAGCATCTCAGGGCTTACTTAGAGTCCCTATGCCAACTTCAGTTGTTTTTATCAATTAGTGAATAATGAAGAAGTAACAGCATAAAATCATATCTAGATTGTTTGGTTTACTTTCTAATATATTGAGATTTCTACAATATCTTTTTTTTAAGCCTAGGTTTCTTTTTTGGCTCATAATTAATTGAATCTTTGAGTTCAGAAATGTTATTGCTTAGTAGTTGGGAGTATAATAATTACTCATCTTACTCTCAGTTTATTTCTAATATTGGGGGTGGGGTAAGCATAGATAGGGTTGGGGTAGGGAGAGTTTGTAGTGACAGTATAATTTCTATCTCAATTTCTGGCCGAGAGTTAAAATTCAGAGCATTCATTTCTCCCCTCATGGATTTCTGTGCTTCCTTTCTTGGTTGTCCTTAATACTAGGTGCCCCTGGGAGCTGGGATTGCTCTGGCCTGTAAGTATAATGGAAAAGATGAGGTCTGTTTGACTTTGTATGGCGATGGCGCTGCTAACCAGGTGAGTATGTGCCTCTTTCAGAGTGTTGTCTATTCATAGGTCAGTTTGTAGAGAAGATATTATTTACTAGTTAAAATAGACAAGCTAAATTTGGGTTTTATGGCCAGATTAGAGATTCACCTCTTGGCATATTTCATAAGTGCTTTATAGGGATGTGCTCCTGTGAAGGAGCTCTCCTTTGCTGTACCTCAGTGATTCACGAACTTTGTGGACCTTTTTGTATTTGCACCCATTGCAAACCAATTCTAAACCAGTACTGTAATGTACTGATGCAGTCTCTGGGAGGCCTTGGCGTTGTCAAACTCCTCTCATAGTTTCTGAGCCTTGACGCTGTGTGCTTCTCCGATCATGGTCCGAGGCGTCACTAGTCTGTGGATGGCACTCTGTGAGGCCCTGCTCTGGATGCTGATTCTTAGATACTGGTTCACTCTGGTTATCCATTGAGTCTCTTAGAACTTATAGTAAAGCATAAAACTAGATGGCTACACATTTTTATGTGTTCCTCTTTTCCCTGGTCTATCTACTGTCTTGGCCCCACAGAAACAAGTGGTGTTTGCTTTTTCACATCCCTTAATTGGAAAAGATGATGCTTGCTGCATCTCCATCCCACCCCCCTCGAGACAAACAAACACACACTCACACACACACACACACACACTCCTTTCCTCAGAAGCTTCGTTGTAGATGCAGCTTTTTATACTTTATGAAAGCTTTCTCTGCTAGGTAGAATAGCAACTGTTAGGATGAAATCTGAGAAAAATAGCAAAGTGAACTCACTTGAACTTCTTATGTATACTTCCAGGGTCAGATATTTGAAGCTTACAATATGGCAGCTTTGTGGAAATTACCTTGTATTTTCATCTGTGAAAATAACCGCTATGGCATGGGAACGTCTGTTGAGAGAGCAGCAGCCAGCACTGATTACTACAAGAGAGGCGACTTCATTCCTGGGCTGAGGGTAAGGACACCTTCATGGCTCGATGCCTCTGTGTGTGTACTTGACAATTTCAGACAAATTGAAGAGTTGTATTTTCATTTTTTTTAAAATCCTCACCTGAGGATATTTTTCCCATTGATTTTTTTAGAGAGAGTGGAAGGGACAGAGGAGGGGGAAAGAAACAGCAATGGGAGAGACACATCGATTGGTTGCCTCCAGCATGCACCTCACAGGCAGGAGATCAAACCTGCAACCCTTAAGATCTGTGGGCTGGTGCTCTAACCACTTAGCTAACTGCCCAGGGCAAGAGTTCTATTTTCTTAATGCAGGAACAGCTCACGTAGAGTTAAAATGCTGTTCGGCGGTTTGATTTATACTCTGCCCCTTTGCCATGTATTAACAGGTAGATGGAATGGATGTCCTATGTGTCCGGGAGGCAACAAAGTTTGCAGCTGCCCATTGTAGGGCTGGAAAGGTAAGACTTTATCTGAGGCCTCTGGGCTAGAGATTGCTAGTGATGTCTTAAAGTTAAAAGATTGCCTCCCCCATGTCTGTCATAGGTATGCAGGGGTAGCTACTGACTGAGGTGCATAAGATAGAAGTAAAGTCCAGTCAAGTGAATCAGATCCCTTTATAAATAGTGTTTTCTTGGTAGCTTACCTTCTGGGGAACATTCCACATTGCTCCCATTTGGGGTAAATCTTCCAGGGCTTCCTCAGCATTTTGTCTCTATCTTCATCGTGACACTTTATCTAGTTTGCCTTTTGGTTTGGTTAATTATGTGCCTCCAACCCCCCATTAACTATAAGCTGGAGTGAACAGATTGGGGACCCCCGCAATGCTCAGCAGAGAACTTTGCTTATATAATAGGCATTCAGTATAAGTTTGTCTTCTATAAATTAAATATTATGGTTGAAGTATGTAATCTTGGTCTTGCTGTTTCAGTCCTAAGAATCTTGACTTTTCAGTTATGCAATGGAGAGGACAGTGAGGTTGGCCTGACGAGGAATATGTACCATCAGAGCTAGTGGAAAGATGTTTTCCCTACATCAATGTTCCACAGCCCAGAAAGCATGCCCAGAGGTTCACCTTTCAGTGACTTCTGTATGTGTGTCTGGGCAGTAATGTAAACTAAGATTTGGCTAGCAGTGATGAAAATGAAAGAAAGGGGGTAAAGCAGCCGGGAAATGCAGAGCAGTTAAAGAAGAGAAAACGAGAATAAAATAGAGCATGGTGAAGATGGCAGGTTGGTGCCAGCAGGCTCAGCAGTCTACATCAGGACTGCAGGACTAGGGGTCCAGGCCCTGGAAGCTGAATACCGTGCCCCTCCCAGTTTCTGAAAGAAGATATGGGGTCTAACCCCACATGGAAACAGGATCAGTGGTTTGTAGCATGTGTTGACTTTCCCAGCCTGACCAAAGCTTTATCTTGGATTTGGGGAGGGTCTGGAAAGCCCCTTATCACCGCCCCCTTTACCAAACCCACTGTACTTCCAAATGGCTGCTGGATGACATAACAGAAAGAAGAGGTGACAGTTATTGAGGGCTTGACGTATGTCAGGTAACGCACTAAGTATTTTTTAAGTATTTAATTGGCACAACTCTGAGTTAGGTAATTACTATTTTGCAGATGAGGAAACAGAATACTTAAGGGTACATAGCTAGTATCTATTACACTAGGATTGGAACCCAAGCACTTGGACTCAGAATCTCCCTTTTTAACTACTACACCAAACTGCCCAGAGATCCTACATTCACTTCCCTCCCGAAAGGGTTCTTGTAGGGAGCTAGTGTTTTATGAGCAAGCTGCCTGGTTGTAGCCAGGCTGGCCAAACTCCCAGCAGAGAGACAGATGGGGTCAAGTATCAGGGTACCTGCCAGCTTCTTGTTACACACTGGCCAGATCTGAATGCAGCAGGATTGGTTGCTCGCCCCTACGGAACAATGCCTGAAATGGATGTGAGGTGGAAATTCACCTCCCCAGCCTATCTTTAGTTCTCCTGTCCTTTTGTGCTTTCCAGTACACATGGAGATTTGCCTTAATCTTATTTTGTTAGTTTTGGTATTTTTCTCTAGTGCTTTTAAAGGATCAGTATGCTTATAGATGTCACCTGTGATAGGAGGAGAAAGACTAGCTTAGTGACCCTGAAGATAAATGCCATCCCCCTTTCTGCTGCCATACCTGCTTCCTAATAGGTTTTTCTTCCTTAAATTTAAGCTGTTTTTATAGGATTCTGTGACAAATGCAACACTGTTGGAACAAACATTCTTTAACATCAGTAGGCTCTGTAATATGCTAAGTGCCTTTTTGATTCCCAACAAATTGGGGCAGGTTCCTGTTTAAAATGAGAATGAAGAAACATGCAGTCAATCTGTATTAGAAATGAGAACAGATAAGCAGCAGTCAACTAATAAATTCCTGACAACTCACCTGATTTATGGATCTGTTGAGAATATGTTTGATCCTGCAAGTGTGTACATTTGAGGCCATTGATTATTGGTGTGCTGTGCCTGTGGTCTTGCCTAATCTCCCTTGGGTTCTGTTTTAGGGGCCTATACTAATGGAGCTGCAGACTTACCGTTACCATGGACACAGCATGAGTGATCCTGGAGTCAGGTATGGTCATGGGAAATATGAGCATGGTGTCTAAAGTGGGATGTGCTATGAATGGTGCTATTCACATGAAAAAGCAAATCATTTCAACATTTGCTTTTGAAGTCAGACACTAGTTGGCTTCAAGTAAATGAGTCCTGGCTGGAAAGCAGTGCCTCCCAATAAAGTGGTTCCAATACAGAAAGTATTCTGAACAATCCCTACTATATAATATCTACATGTTAGCATGAGCAGCAATAAAATAAAATTGCCAAGAGAAAATTTTCCATAAAGCAGGTCTGATGGTGTAGTAAATTGGGGGACATTACCCCAGATTCTTTCGTGGCATTATTTTTTCTAAAGTGAGAATTTGAAAATGTTCTAGCTGGTATGGAGTGAGGCCAGCTGGCACATGGGGCATTCAGTATGTTGAAATAGATGAGTCACAAAGAGATAGGGTACACTAGAAGGTAGGAGTTTTATGTGTCAATTAGAAATTCTGGCATATAATGCTGTGGTCCCAGGGAGAGACACAATAGTAGCAGATTTAGTCAAAGTAAGCCATAGCAAGCCTTTGAGTGTAGAGTGGAGGAGTTCTAAGGGAAAATATAAAGAGCAACTTATATGGAAAAATGCACTTTCTGTAATTCTGTTTTCAAAAAATGGTAGTCCTTTTAGTGTTATTTCAAATGATGCGTGGGACAAGGATGTATTACAGGGATTCAAGAATTGGAAACCCTGTTATGCAAGTTTTTGCTGGCCACACTTCTCCAGGGTTTTACGGGAGAAAAGAAAGGCACATTTATTTCCTGCTTGACATTCTACTGCTTCAAAGTCTGTGATTATCACTACCAAGAACCATCGCCACTGTCCCCACCTACGTGAAATTTAGAGCTCAAGGGAGTGAGACAGTTGACACAGAAAGAGGCTCCACTTTCTTCAGACCCTACCTCTAGATCAAAGATGCAAAGAAAGACTTGGTCTCTGTGGTCACAATGCTGGGGAAGCCAGGTGAATTAATAGCCAGTATAGAGTTTTCTATAGAAGATATAAGCAGCTCTTACAAAACGGCAGGCTCAGTTCTTATGCTTTGAAAATATAATTCTGTCATTCCATCAGTGACAGGTATTGATGAGCTCCATCTCAGCAGCATACTTCCATATATCACAGAACTCTTTGCTATACTGGAACTGTTCTTACCTACTTCTATGTTTCCCTCCCTGTAGTTATCGTACACGAGAGGAAATTCAGGAAGTAAGAAGTAAGAGTGACCCTATCATGCTTCTCAAGGATAGAATGGTGAACAGCAATCTTGCCAGTGTTGAAGAATTAAAGGTATTGTTACTTTTGGTGGTTTAAAAGTGAGCTTTCCTTTCTGAGCAATCGATATTTCTCCACACAAAAATAGCTGCCACTCCTCAGTGAACTACCTTATGGGAAAGTATCTATTATCACAGAACATTAGTCATATTGGCCAAAGCCTGTTAAAACCTCCGAAGAGCACAATTATTTTTTCCTAGAAATATAGTTTGGTGATTATTTTTATTTTTTTAAATTCGTGTTTCTACACTAGGAAGTGTGTGTGTAATTTTAAAACATTTTTATTGATTTCAGAGAGAGGAAGGGAGAAGAAATAAAAACATCACTGATGAGAATCATCAATAGGCTATCGCCTGCACGCCCCCTACTTGGGATCGAGCCTGCAACCTGGGCATGTGCCCTGACTGGGAATTCAAACCCTGACCTATTTCATAGGTTGATGCTCAATCACTGAGCCTCACTGGCTGAGCGAGGCTTTAAATGTTGAAGGCTTTAAAGTATAATTACTTTAAATGTTGATGTCTGTACTACAAAATATTCCTGGGTATATCATTGTGTCACTTAGTTAAATAACATCTTTATAGCAGCTATTTATTAGTACTAGAAGAATTGTAGTTATACTAGCGACAGGATCAGAGTACAACGACTTGGTACTTAAACTGTGTTTACTTAAAAATCTCGAACTGTAATCTGATTTTAGGAAATTGATGTCGAAGTGAGGAAAGAAATTGAGGATGCTGCCCAGTTTGCTACAGCTGATCCTGAACCACCTTTGGAAGAACTAGGCTATCACATCTACTCCAACGAGCCACCTTTTGAAGTTCGGGGTGCAAATCAGTGGATCAAATTTAAGTCCATCAGTTAATGGGAGACTGCATGTAATGGATGGTTACATCTTCAGTGGGCTATTTGACAGCAACTATAAGGAATTCTTGTTGTTCTCACCCATAGAATGTATGTAGATTAAGGTAGTAATTGCATGCGGTTTATACAGTATTGCATTAAAGGTTATGTTAGATTTATATAGGTCTAAATAGGTAACAGACTTTGCTTAAGCTTCCTTCAGATTATTTCCTTAAAAAAGTCTATTTGATCTAGTTTGTACACTGTTTTAACAGGTACTTTTTAGTTATTGAAAGGAAAAACAATTCTTTGTATGCCTGTCCAATTCTGCCACCTTATTTTTGGGGGGTAGGGGCTCATTCCCCCATCTGGCCCAACCCCACAGCTAACAACAACGTACATTAATGCACACACACGCCTATAAGACAACATTTAGTTGTCTAACCAGGCAGTGGGTAGAAGGACAGTTCCATTTTTAAATAGGACTACTTCACAATCATTTCAAAGGTCAAATAACTTAAAGTGCAATTAACCAGTTACTATTAACTTATAACCTAAAACTGATTCCTAGCCTTTTTGTTAAACACCTATTGTTTTTATCTTTGCAGCAAGTGCTATATAGGATGTGCTGATTTTTTTCATTGAAGTAACTTAAAATTAATTTTTAAGAATTCCATAATACTCTGGACGTCAAAACTGTGGCTCACAATCACTGTTCTCACAATACATACCGTTCTACTCACCTTTAAAATGTTGATAAACAGAGGCATAAAACATGAAAGCCAGTGAAAACATTTTTTATTAACTCTTTAGAACTTCAAGTTTTTAAATTGTTTATGGTGTTTTATGTGTGTCTGTATGAGAAACTTTAACAACAAAGATGTCAGCTCCTTGCTCCCTCTCTGTCCTCTAACTCATTAGAACTTCAACTTTTTAAATTCTTCATGGTGATTTATGTGTCTATGAGAAACTTTAACAACAAAGATATCAGCTCCTTGCTCCCTCTCTGTTCTTTAACTCTTTAGGACTTCAATTTTTTAAATTATTCATGGTGTTTTATGTGTATCTGTATGAGAAACTTAACAACAAAGATGTGGGCTCATTGCTGCCTCTGTCCCCTGGCTTTGCTGACTGGTTAACCCTCATCTTGGGTCGCCGGGGCCCCCTGAGTCTGTCTTCTGTACTGGGAGACTTCACTCCAGAGCTTGCAGAGGAGCCCACCACTACGAAACAAAAAGAAGAGTCTTCTGTAGAGTCAAAAGAAAACTTCAAAGCAACACCACAGAATACTTCTTTAGGAGCCCTTACAGCAAAAACTATAGTATATAATTCTAGGCTTGTCTAGATTTCTTCTCTCGTTGTAAAAACTTAGTTAAAATAGAAATATGTTCTTTTCACACATGGAGGAGACATTTGTGCCCCAGCAGGAGTGGGACATTGTCTTAGAGGTAACTTAAAGATATGTTTTGGTGTAGCACGGAATGGGGAGAGCGCTTATTTCGCCTTCCTGCTTTTCCTACATAGCCTTTGGCTTCTGCCATCTCTTGGCTTTACTCCCAACTTGAACCTGGGAAAACTGCAGAGTTTAGAGTTTTCTAAGCCATAGAATAAGGAATTAAGTTCAATGAAGGGGGAAAGGTAGCAGCACTTTGTTTTCTACTGTATTTAAAAGCATAATCATATGAAAAAAGTCGTTTTCTATTGTACAGTGTTCTGAGGCTGTTCTTACCGTAGACCAAGGTATCTGAGGTCTTCCTTCGTGATGTCATTAAGAATATCAGAAAGTTTGTAACCTTCTTTAACAATCTGAAATACAGATCAAATACATAGGAAGTAAGCACCTTTGTGATAATAGCATAGGATTGTTTTTTGGGGGGTGTAAATTTACCTTTTCAATAGTATCTGCATCTGCTCCTTGCATTTGCAACCAGTCTACAAGCTCTTGATATGTTCTCTGCTCATAAGACGATGCTGGGTTCTCTGTAGTAATTAGAAGTTTGTTTTATTGTATATTGATGTGTAACAATAAAACTTGAACAGTGACAAGGAAATAAACTCTTCCAGAATGTAAATGTGATGTGAAAAGGAAATGGATCGAGCCTGTCTCAGCTGCTCTAATACACAGTGTACAATAGTCCAGAGTCAAATAATCCTTACCTGTGACCTTTAGCTAGTTTGGAACTTGGTTATGTATCACTTTAAATACTTGTTCCCATCTCTAAAATGCCTTTTCTCAGGAGTCACATCCCTAACTGCACTGGAAATCAAAGGAGGAAATATGTTTTAGTGGGATTTTTGTCTCAGGCCTCATCCATTCACATTCTAAGAGGTAGCTATAGCCCTTTTGTAAGAGCACAGAATGAACAAAGCAGGTTTACTGAGGTGTAACTTATACAGTAAACCGCCCACTTTTAGGTATGCAGCAAAGTCATGTGACCATTACAATCAAGATACAGAAATGTCCATCACCCCAAGATGTGTAGCAAGGAGCCACATCTTTTGTAATCAATCCCCCCTGCCCATTCTGATTTGTTTTCTGTCCCTATAGTTTTGCCTTTAACAGAATATTGTATAAATAGTCTGTATTTATGGAGTCATAGTATATAGCCTTTTGAATCTGGCTTTTTTCACTTAGCATAGCACTTTTGCGAGTCATTCTGTTTTTAATGTACCAGTAGTTCCTTTTTATTATTGATTAGTATTCCGGAATCTAAAGGAATACTTAGTGATTAATTAGAAAATAATCTAAATTGTGTCACGGTTAACTAGAATATTAGCTTTTAATTTTTATTTTTTATGTTAATCTTCACCCAAGGATATTTTTCCATTTATTTTCAGGGAGAGTGGAAAAGAGAGGGAAAGACAAACATAAATGTGAGAGAAACATATCGATTGGTTGGCCCCTGCACAAGCCCCGACCAGGGCTGGGGAGGAGCCTGCAACCAAGGTACATACCCTTGACTAGAATTGAACTTGGGACCCTTTGGTCCGCAGGCCGACGCTCTATCCACGGAGCAAAACTGGCTAGGGCTAGAATATTAGCTGTTAAATTATCTCTCAGACTTAAGTCAGCAAGTAGAAAGTCACTCACCATTAGATCTTAATTGTGACTGAAAGTCACACAATTGTTGACTTTGCTGTTTTAGGCTTTGCCGTATAAGATTCTTGTGTGCTCTCTCTGCTTGAAGTAGGTTTTTCAAAAGTCTGGTTTAAAAAAAAAAGCCATCATTCCAGAGAGTCTAACACCATTCAATTCAACTCAAATATGTCTTTAACATTAGAGATTGAGAAAAAAAGCACAATCCCAATGGTCAGTATAGTTTTTTCAAAGTTTTGTGAACAGGTTTCAGTCTGCACATGAGTAAATTCCTTGTTTCCTCCCCTTGAAAAAAAAGACTCAGGGTGGGAGTATATTTTTTCTCAAAATATGCTATGAACCAAGATAACCCAGTGGAACTCAGCCAGAATGATCTGATAACTTTAACTTGTCTTCCCTAAGTCAGGTTAAGTTACTGAAACTAGTAGTCAAGCTCTTTCCTCCTCTCATGGGACTAAGCCAAGGAGATAGAAGCCTGTACGGGAACTGGTCTCACAGATGCTCACACAGACCAGTTATTCCCAGGCAATATCGCTTTGGGCAGTAGGTACCATCTTCCTGCTCTGCCCCCAAGACAGCTAAAGCACCTCCATACTGCAAGGACAGTCATGCTTTGTAGGGATTTAATGTTTATCAGGCATTTGCAATTGTGCTGGCTGCTATTTTCTAATTCCTAATTCTACGGAGACTGGTAACATATCAACAGTGGAGAATAACCTTTGAACCTATATACAATATTCTTTTGAATTGGTAATTAGAAACTTTATCAGAAAAACATTTTTTAAAGTGCTAAGTATTACTATCAACTTTCACATTTGTCGTATTTCAAAAACTTTAAAAATTTTGCCACCACCACCAGTTCATTAAGACTCCAGGTCTTCCTAAAAAAAGGATTAGATCTGCCTAAGATTCAACGTTAGAGATCCCTAGGGGTGTATACAGCTTCTGTTCCAAAATATGTACACCTGGCACCTAATCTCTCCCCATTAAATATTAATCAACATTATGGATGATCATGGGGCCAAAAAAAGCATCATTTGGAACCAATACCAACTAATTTGCTATAGCTGTGGCTTATACTTTTCATAAATCCATTGATGATATGATTTCCCTAGTGCAAACAGGAATCATTTTATTAAGCACCTACTATGTGCCAGGAAGTGAATAAAACAGACCAGCTCTTGGGGGACCCTCATAACAGTGCCAGGGTCCCTTGGCTGGGAAGGCAGTCCATGAATGCCTGCTGAGGGATCATGATAAACCACAAGGAAGAGATTCAAAGAGGTAAGGTCAAACTTCCTTGGGGTCAGGGTTATGGGCCAACTGCCATAGTAGAGTGCTAACCAGTCCCCAACTTGGCTACTTCTGTAGGGGTGGGCTGCAGATTTCCACTGCTGTACCCACAGGCCATGCCAGGGTTCCTATCTGGCAAAAAGACACAGAAAACTCCAAGATGCTGCTGCCTTTAATATGGCTAAGTGCTGTGCGGCCTGGATTTCCAATATTAAAAGGGAGGCATTTAATCTGTCCATTGAAACTGAGAATACCCCTTTGCCCAGTTCCCTGGTGGTGAAGATTCTTTTCTGAGACCTGGGTGAAGCACTCAACAACTAAATCAATTGCCTGCTGGTCCAGGTCATTGTTCCACCCTTACTGACCTTCCGGTTTCCCGCCTCAGACTGTCCAGCTGGAGGCTCAGATCCTGCTGGAGCTCCTGGTACTGGGCTTCCCGGACAAGTGCTGAAGTGGGTTTGGTACCTCCATGTATTGCACGTGCTTCACTTCCAGGTGGGTCTGCTGGGGGACCATCCTGGTCCACCTCATCTGGGTCCTCATTCACCCCTTCTGTTTCCTCGGTGGCCTCAAAGTGGGCTCGGAGCTCTGCGCAATCATGGAAGAAGAAAGGACCACAGTTCAACAAGATGAGAGGAACAAAAAAGCTTTTATGTTCCTCTCTGGATTTCGCTCCTTCCAACAAGACCAGGGCCTCCTGTAGCTTTTATGTCCCAATACAGTGTTGCATTGGCAGGGCCAGCAAACAGGGCTGTTCAGAAGCTGGCCCTGTCAATGCAACACTGTATTGGGATTGGGATTTTAAAAATGGAGAGGAACTATTTCACTCAGTTCTTGGCAGTGCAAAAGTGATCACCCCCAGTTTAAAGATGAGAAAACGGGGGTTTAAAGATGTTAGGTTAGCTAGCCAAGGGGAGTTTTAAAAAGGTACAACTAGGCTTCCAACCTGGCCTGTGTACATTTACTACAGAAATGCCTACTTGGAGCAGGGAGTAATGCAGTCTTGGGGATTAAAGAGCTTCTCCCGGAAGCTAGAAGCTGAGCAGGGCTCCCATGCATTCAGGGGAGCAGGCAAAAGACGGAAGGAGCAAAATCCAGAGAGGAAATGGCAGTGTCAACACAAGTGTTACAAACCTTCCTTTGCAGGAAGAAGTCACCACAGAAAGAGAACCAACTTGAATAGTAAGCAGCTCTAACAGAGTTGACAAGAGCAAAAGATATCTAGAGTTACCACACGGTGATTCTGAGGAGAAGGCACCATTCAATTCTCAACCAACCAGCAAGTGTTCCTAAGGATGCATTGTAGCATTTATGCTAACTTTTAGATCATGAGTTTAGTGTCGGTTAGGCACAGAAATACAGCGCAGGAGAAATTCTTAGAATCAGAATCTTAGCCCCATAGGGTTTGTGACAGTATTGCTTTATTGCAAGGAAGTATAGCCAAGATGTGAAAGAGAGCACAATTGTTGAGCACAGGGGATAGACATTTCTGGTCTTTTCCATAGCCTGAAGCCGACCTTGACTGAGAAGCGGGCACTTACCTGAGATAAGAATGACGACTGCAGCCATCACCACTCGCTGGATGATGATATCCATCGCACACAGCCACTGGACGTTAATTAAGTGATGCCTCAACATTTTACTCACCTATAAAACACAAAAATGCAGATTTCTGGTCCACTGTACTTCTAAGAAATAAGTTTTTACTAATTCTAATTTCTACTCTCTGAGATAGAGTGTTCACCATTCTGCTCTGCATTTCTACCCTACTTCTGTTTCTTCTGGACTGAGTCTCCAAGCTGACCCTAAGTCAGCGGTTCTCAACCTGTGGGTCGAGACCCCTTTGGGGGTCGAAAGACCCTTTCACAGGGGTTGCCTAAGACCATCGGAAAACATATAATTACATATCGTTTTTGTGATTAATCACTATGCTTTAATTATGTTCAATTTGTAACAATGAAATTGGGGGTCACCACAACATGAGGAACTGTATTAAAAGGTCGCGGCATTAGGAAGGTTGAGAACCACTGCCCTAAGTCCTGCTGGGGTCTAGGACAGTGGTCAGCAAACTGAGGCTCATGAGCCACATGCAGTTCTTTGGCCCCTTGAGTGTGGCTCTTCCACAAAATACCACGTGCAGGCGCGCACGTACAGTGCGATTGAAACTTCGTGGCCCATGCGCAGAAGTTGGTATTTTGTGGAAGAGCCACACTAAAGGGGCCAAAGAGCCGCATGTGGCTCGCGAGCTGCAGTTTGCCGACCACTGGCTAGGAGATGGGTGTGGTGATCAAATGTACTGCACTGGGCCTCTTCATTGTTTATTCACTGAGCACTTATGAAACCTCAGGCTCTGTGTTGGAGGCTTGGGACACCAAAGCTCAGGCAGACATGGTCTCAGACCTGAAACAACTCCTCTGTTTGGGCAGACACAAGCTTAAACCCCAAATCTATTCAGCTGGCAAATGCTACTTGTTCCCAAATCCTGCACTCCTGCTATTTGTGGCCAAATGCAATTGACCTATTCACCTGCAATTGCATATTCAATGTTTAAAAGAACTGAAACCCAGATTCGGGTGTCAACAGGTGAGAAGAGATGGGGACTGTGAAAGAAGATGGTAATTGAACCCCATGGGATTGGCTAGGAGCTGCTTCAGTGGGCTTCCTGCT